TATGTATATATATATATATGTATGTATATATATGTATGTATACATATGTATGTATATATATATATATATATATATATACAATACAACTTTATTTATAAAGCACTTTAAAACAACACCGTTGGCCAAAGTGCTGTACACTAACACATACAAGCATAAAAACTATGAACTCAACAAATACCATAAAAGTAATGTATAATATGTATATGTATATATACTTTGTATACATGTATATATATATATAACCCCCCACCCCCCCAGCACTCGAGGTTTGAGAGCAGAAGAGATCAATAGGTGTAATTAGAAAGCAAACAGCCAGCAGTCACATGACAAAGTAACTGCCAAGAAATGTATTGTATTTTAACCAAACAGACCTCAGAACCTTTTTACCCACTTAACACAAGTGGATTAAGAATTCCCACAACAATGTTGGTCCATTATTTTGTTTTCTTGCTTCTCAAATCAATTATGATTTACAAACACATGTTTTGTAATGATAGGCAAATTGAAATGTGTTGTTTTCGTTCCAAAATAACGATTTCACCTGTTTTATAGAAAAGGAGCATTTTTGTCCAGTGATACAAAATTAAAAAAAAGAAAGAAACATTTTCTTGTGGGGTGTTTTGTTGAATAAAAATATAAAATAGACTTGATGTAGATGTGTCAGTCACCATTTCATATTGTTGTTTTAATTGCTAAAAGTTCTCCTGGAATCAAAACAAATCTTCAATAATGACACATGCCATAAAAAGTGGCAGTAGATTTAGAAGCAAAAATAAATATATATTTATGTGTGTGATTATTTTTTCTTTACTGTTGCATAACTTTTATGAGCAATTATTTTCTATTCTATCTTTGCACACATCTAAAATTTGATTTGACTTAAATATTAATTTTAAACAAATTGCAATGTGTTCATGAAAACGGTTTCTGCAGTAGCTTATTGAATAAAGCAGCTCCATAAGCCCCTGATTGTGCTGCAGCTGCCACAAAAAGGGGATTTAAAACAAATCCAGCCGTACCCTCAGTTTGCGTCCAAACACGATAACTTTCCCTCGGGCTTGTTCTTTCCGGAAGCGCCATTCAACCAAGTTCTGCCCAACCTCTCCTGGCAAACTCATGTTGCGCCTGGCGACGGTCGGGTTGGCAGCGCCCGTTAGGATGTGAGGCTCCGTTTGGTAGTGGGTGTCCATCCCGTTGGCGTAGGTAATCCTCAGAGAGTTGTCATAGCCTACCTGATAGCTGCTTCTACACTGGTCTGTTGACGACAGACACACAGAGACAACCGTAAGAGACACAATACTTTCAAACAGTATTCATAGATTATACCTGGCAGGTCCTCGGGGTCTTTTTTTTTTTTTTTTGGCTTTACAAAAGTCCCTCGCTACTTCACGGTTCGTTTATCATGGACTTGCTCTATCACACTTTTTCAAAATAAGAGTGGACATGACACATAACTGTCAATCCTGATTGATGGATGAGTCGCACGATCGGCATGGAATTTTTATTTAAAATATTATTATTTTAAATTATTTAACACCTGCTGCACATTTGTGCAGCCCAGAGATGCAGAAAAAGCTTCCTGCTGCAGCTGATCAGCTGTTCTCCGTGCAGAGTGGAGAAGTGGGCGTGGCCAAGAGCGCTTGCAGGTTGCAAAGAGCAGAGGAAGCAGGGAGCTGAAATCATGACATTCTGTGCTCTTTTAGAGCGTTTAGAAACATTGTTTAGAATATTGCAAGAGTGTGGGAAGGGTTTAAAACACCTTCATATAAATTGTTTAAAACACCTTCATATAAATTATTTATTAACATTTATTTAACCAGGAAAATCCCATTGAGATCACAGATCTGTTTTGTAAGGGAGGCCTGAACCTGACGGCAGCCTAACATGCATGTTTTTGGTCTGTGGGAGGAAACTGGAGTACCCGGAGAAAACCCACGCAGCACGGAGAGAACATGCAAACTCCACCCAGAACGACCCCAGGTCCAACCGGGGATTGAACTCAGGACCTTTTTGTTGTGAGGCAACAGTGCTAACCACTGCTCCATCTACACACATATACACATATATATATATATATATATATATATATGTGTATATACTATATATATATATATTTATATATATACATATACATTATATATATATATATAATGTGTATATATATATATATATATATATACACTATATATATATATATTTATATATATACATATACATTATATATATATATATAATGTGTATATATATATATATATATATATACA